TCTTTAGCAGGATCACAAAAAAGCCCTCAGGACAAAATCCATATCTCTGGGTTATTACTTTGTTAGTTTTTGGTTTGTAGTTCTTCACAGTCTTGTCAGTGCTTTGCTGACAAATTTTCAAAACACTTTATACAGCATTTCATTTGTTTTCAACGGAGGTTGGACTCAGTAACTTAACTATTATTATGAAGAAATGTTTGGATTTTTGCCCTTTTATCCCCTTCCTTTAACTTTTTGCTTTTGAGATTTCAGATCTAGGAAAGTAGAGGTATGACAAGGGCTAATAATGTGTTAGGAGTGATATTGCTGTTAGTACTGTAGTCCTTTAGGAAAATTCACCATTTTGATGAAAAAAAAAAGAAAACTTTGTAATTTAGTCTTAAAAAAACTTTATTCAGTGTAGTTGAATATAGTTAACTGTATATACTGTAAGGTTCACACATTTTAAGTACATAAGGAAGTGATTTTTAGTAAATTTGTTGAGTTGTGCAACTATTCCCATAAATCAGTTTTAGAACATTTCTTCTACCCAGTAAGATTTTTCTATCCCATTTATAGTTAGTCTGTTTGTACTCCCAGCCCAGCAACCACTAATCCACCACTACCTAACCCCACTCCCATTTGCCTTTTCTGGACATTTCATGTTAATGGAATCATAAAATATGTGACTTTTTGTGCCTTGCTCTTTTCATTTAGCATAATGTTTCTGGTTTTGTGATTTATACATATTTAGCATATATCATTATTTGGTTTTTATTGCTGGATAGTATTCCAGGGCACAGATATACCACATTTTATGTATCTGTTCTTCAGTTGGTGTACATTTGGGGTTGATTTAACTTTTTGGATATTTTATTATTTTAGCTGGTTTATGTACACACTCTGTACTCTAAAAAGATACTGCTAAACTTCCTGTATGAGCAATTTATATCCATTCTTTACAACAGGTTCTGGCCCTGTGCTAGGGCCAACCTTCCTTGATGTGTATTTGCCAAGAAATTTAATGATGGTCATACTTTGGCTCCTGCTCTGTTTCTTATTTGCTTTGTGCCATGTTTTGAGGTTTGCATGATTTACTCATCTCTCCATTAGCTTTTGTAATTTTCTACCTTTTAATATTTCCCTTTAGTATCCAAAAGGTCATATTCCTCTTTTGTTCTTGATATTCTTTATGTTAATTTGGCAAGCCACTTCCTTTTGGCCATTTATAGAGTAGTTGGATATGGTGAGTTAGTTCTCTAGTTTCTTTCAACTCAAAAGTGGTTTTACCGGATGAGCAATCTAGTTTAGGTGAGAACATAGGTGGGAGTAGGGGGTTTTGGTAGCAGGTGTGGTTGAAGAGGGCAAGAAACAGAAGCTCAGAAACAGCCAGGAGACCTTTTGGGTTTTAAGTCATTCAATTGTGGCCAGGCTGTTTTCATTTACAGTGTGTTACCCTATTGTACACTTAAGAGGGTTAATTGGTAATCTTTTTCTTAAAAGGACAAATAGTAAATATTTTAGGCTTTGCAAGCCGTACTGTCTCCTGTCACTCTTAACTCTTTGTGACACAAAAGCAGTCATAAGCCATTGGTAAATAAATGAGCATGGCTGTATTACAGTAAAAGTTATTTACTAAAACAGTCACATTGGTAGTTTGCCAAACCCTAAACCTTTAAAGGATTGTTTCATATAATGTTGGTGAGGAGCAATGTATGTACTTGTGGTTTTTTGTTTGTGGGGGGTTTCTTTGGGGGGGGGCAGCAAAACAAGGTTTACTGAGCATAGCAAAGTGATAGTACAAAGCTCCCGAGGAGGGAGGGGACCCAAGGGGGTTGCCTGCAATGTATGTACTTGTGCAGGAACCTAGTAGTATGTCAGATACAGTTTTTACATTAATTTCCAGCCTTTTGTGCTCTTTGCCGATTTTCTTGTGGATCTTAAGGAAATAAAGAACTGAAGGACTAAAACTTAGTCTGAGAACTTATTCTGTGAGACAAATGAACCCAAAGACAGAATGGGGGGGACTGCAACTTCAGGAGGAAAGAGGGGATGGATTAGCCCATGAACCTTCTAAGAAGACAGAATATAACCTGTCTAGGACTGAGATCTAATTAATGTGGGGAGGTAGTAATGGATGGGGGCTGTGGGGATGGGATAGGATAAGGGATATGATGATGTGATAGCATAGGTATCTGTTTTAGTAAAAAGAACCCAGTGGTTTTGGAGCATGGAGAGATTTTGTTTGGAATCATGGACTTGCCGCGTAAGTAATGGACTAACTTGAGTGGGCTTAGGCAAGGCACTTTCCTCTTTGAGCCTCAGTTATTTATTATTTTTTTTTTTTTAAGTAATCTCTACACCCAATGTGGGGATCAGACTTAGAACCCTGAGATCCAGAGTAGCACGCTCTACTGACTGAACCAGCCAGGCACCTCTCAGTTATATTTTTTATGAAATGGTGATGTCATAACTTACCTTGAAGTGAAGATTAGAAATTCATGAATGTTAAATGGCTGAACTGTGACTTGCATGCACATAGTAAACCCATGTTATTCCCTATCATTTCTTTGGTCTTATTTGTGTTTAAAAATGTCATTGGTGTTTGAAAATTTGGATGCTATCTAATGGGAATATATTAAAGGCATAATCTATTTGCCTCAGAGCGTAAAGTTATTACCCATTAACTGTCACAGGTACAGATGCATATACTTATTTCAAGATGTATTTTGGCTTATTTCTTTTCTCCAAGAGAGATTTTTTTAAACATTATTATTTGAGGGGAACATTTGAAGTAATTGTTTGGCTGATGGTTTTAACTTCTTTTGAAATGCTTGGGAAAAACTCGCCGGTTTGGGTCACTTACAGGTTTATTGTCTAAAACTGAGCAGTTAGGAAAATTGCATTGGTTGAAAGGTTTAACAAGCCCTATAATTACATTGGGAGCTCTGTAGGTACATAATTTTGATAACTGTTTCAGCCTCTATCATTTTAACTTTTTATTTTTTATTAATACTTTATTTTTTTAGAGCAGTTTTAGGTTTGTAGCAAAATTGAGAAGGCACAGAGATTTCCTATAGTCCCTGTCCACTCACATGCACAACCTTCCCTATTATCAACACCCCCCACTGGAGTGGTACATTTGTTACAATTGATGAATCTACATTGACACATTGTAATCACCCGAAGTCCACAGTTTACCTTAGGGTTCATTCTGGGGTGTTGTACATTCTTTGGGTTTGGACAAATATATAATGACTTGTATTCATGATTATGGTATCATACAGAGTATCTTCACTGCTGTAAAAATCCTCTGTGTTCTGCTTATCTATCCCTCCCTCCCATGTGCATGCCCCCCCAACCCATCCCCTGGTAACCACTTTTTATTGTCTTCATAGTTTTGCCTTTTCCAGAATGTATGTATGTAATCATATATATAGCCTTTTCACATTGACTTTTTTCACTTGGTATATGCATTTAAGTGTCCTCCATGTCTTTTCATGGCTTGATACCTCATCTCTTTTTAGTGCTGAATAATACTCTATTACTGTACATACCACAGTTGATTTATCCATTCACCTACATCTTGGTGGCTTCCAAGTTTTGATAATTATGAATAAAGCTGCTTTAAAAATCCATGTGAAGGTTTTTGGGTGAATATAAGTTTTCAACTCCTTTTATATTAGATTTAAATAGTTAAACTAGGTGGTGTATTACTACTATTTATTGCTATGAAATTACAGTAATTAGAATTAGAAAAAAATTATTTTTCATATCTCATCCTAACAAAGTTTTATGGCTTTTTTCCATATGTGCTATCTAAGGAGTAAAAGCCTTTGCCAAGTTTACTGTGCCTATGATTTGACCTTTTCCTTTTGGTCTCAATTTTTGCATTTCTTTGATTGAAAGAACACCAGTGTTCCTCATTCAACTGAGGCAGAAATAGTTTCTTCTGAGGTTATTGTGTCATGAAATACCTCTTGCCTCTTGAGTAGACTATATCCTACATTCTGTATGCATTCGCTTTTGCTCCCAAAGACCTTATAAAATGACTATAACATGTTAAACTGGGACAAAGTCTTATTGGGAAATTATAATAGATATTTGTTTTACCATTAATTCAAAGAAAAGTGGTATGATATTTTGAAATTTTGACCATAAAACATGACTTTTTTTTTTTCCTTAAAGGGTGCCCCGAACTCTGTATTTTTATCTTATTTTCTGTCTTTGGCATACATGCCATATGCTTTTTATGTCATTGAGGTAATGGTATACATATAATTAATTATATTTTTTAATGATTCTATTTAGAAATATTCCTCAGTTTTCTAATGTGAAACTCACATCACAACTATGGTATGAAGTGTGTGTAAAGTGCTTTTGAAATTCACATGGTAGTACTGATTAGGTAAATATTCTATCTGAAATATCTGTCTTGTATTCTGTGTAATTGGGAGAGGTGTTATTAAAATAATTTATGGTATATTTTATGAATTTGCTTGATTTAGACTTTATTTAAGATTTTATTTATTTATTAGAGAGAGAGAGAACATGAGGGCGGGGGTAGGCAGAGGGAGAGGGAGAAGCAGACTTCCCCCTGAGCAGGGACCACCCCCGACGCGGGGCTTGATCCCAGGAGCCTGGGATCATGACCTGGGCCGAAGGCAGACACTTAACCAACTGAGTCACCCAGGCGCCCCTAGATTATATTTTAACGTTAGCTGTATCTGTCACTATGGGACACTAGTTAGTTTCAGTTTAATCTTTTTTTATCTTTCCCTTAACTTCAGATGGGCTGTGTATATTTGTATAGAGCAACAAAAGTTGCTCTCAATCTCCCCCCTCAACTTCCGTATGTGATAAACCATAGGAAATCACTTTTAGCCTCTTAGAGCTTTTAAGCAGATTGTTTTTGAGAGTTTCCCATCTCTGTACCTTTGAGAGTACAGGGATGGTTGCATGAAAGCAGTGGGCTTTCCTCTAACATTTTGGTTAATATGAACTTGTTTCTCCTCTTTTAGCTGTGCGGTCAGAGAAGAAACGCCTTAGGAAGCCAAGCAAGTGGCTTCTGGAATATACAGAAGAATATGATCAGATATTTGCTCCTAAGAAAAAACAAAAGAAGGTGCAGGAACAGGTGCACAAGGTATATTCCACCATTTTAATAGTCTTTTCATCAGTACTTTTAGGATATTGCAGTTTTCCTTCAATATCATGTTTTGTCTGCATGGGATAATAATTTCCTTAACTGGGATCTTGCTTTTTCCATTTTTTACCGCCAGCTTTTGGCACTACTTAGAATATACATGAAAGGTATAAATGGCTCTATGCACTGTGAGTAGTATATGTATATATAAATTTTTTTCTCCCTTTGCTTTCAGAGAGTAATGATTTAGGAATATTATTATGACAAAATATTAAAATTGTAGAATATAAAATATGGTAGGATCGTAATTTTTTATTTTTATTTATTTTTTTTAAGATTTATTTGTTTGAGAGGGAGAGCATGGAGAGGAGGGCCAGAGGGAGAGGGAGAGTCTGAAGCCGACTCTATGCTGAACATGGACCCCATGTGGGGCTCAATCTCAATGACTCCGAGATCGTGACCTGAGCCAAAGCCAAGAATCAGGCTCAACTGACTGCACCACCGAAACCCCCAGGATTATAATTTTTTAAACAAATGCTTTTGATACCTTATTTGCTTTATTTTTTAAAAAATTTTTAATCTCTACACCCAACGTGGGCCTCAGACTCATGACCCTGAGATCAAGAGTTGGAGACACTTCCAACTGAGCCAGCCAGGCACCCCTTAATTCAATTTTTTTTTTTTTTTTAAGATTTTATTTATTCATCTGAAAGAGAGACAGAGGAGAGCACAAGCAAGGGGAGAGGCAGAGAGAGGGAGAAGCAGACTTCCTGCTGAGCTGGGAGCCAGACGTGGGGTTCAATCCCAGGACCTGGAGATCATGACCTGAGCTGAAGACAGATGCTTAACCGTCTGAGCCACCCAGGCGCCCCGCTTAATTCAATTTTTTTAAGCTCAGTTACTTAACAGTGAATTAGAGACATTTTACCTTCTATCCCTAAATAATATGCACCTCTAAAAAATAGAACATTTTCCTTCATAAATGATTTAATTTTACTGCATCTTATAAGATCAGTTTATCTAATAACAACAAATCCATATTCAGATTTCCTCACTTGTCCTCTAACCTTTACATTTGGTTTATTCATTCTAGGACTACACATTATATCTGGTTGTTAGATTTCTTAAATTTCTTTAAATCCAGAACAGTCCCCCTTTTTTCATGACCCTATCTATCTAAGTAATGAGAAACCTTTACAGTATCCCCCTTCTAGATTTGTATGATTGCTTCTTCATATGTTTCACTAAACTCTTCTCTGTCTCCCTTGTTACGTGGAAATTATAACTAACAATTTGATGGATTCAAGTTAAACAGTTTTAGCTAGATTAAATTATAGGTGCTATTTTGTCATATATTGCATGACATTAGAAGTTGTCCAGAGTCCTGACTGATTTCCTTTCTTTTAAGTCATTTTGCTCCCTTTGATCAAGAAGGAATATGTGGGGGTGCCTGGGTGGCTCAGTTGGTTGAGCGACTGACTCTTGGTTTCAGCTCAGGTCATGATCTCAGGATCCTGGGATCAAGCCCTGCATTGGGCTCCGCACTCAGCAGGAAGTCTACTTCTCTGCCTCTCTCCTTCTGCCCTGCTCGCAGGCTCTCTCTGTCTCTAAAATAAACAAATCAAATCAAATAAAAAAAAATCTTTAAAAAAATGAAGCAGCATGTCTGTAATTACTTTGGCTTCAAAAGAATGTCCTCTTCTCTATCCACCATTCCCTGATGGTTTTTAAAAATTTCAATCGAGGGGTGCCTGGGTGGCTCAGTCATTAAGCGTCTGCCTTCGACTTGGGTCATGGTCCCAAGTTCCTGGGATCGAGCCCCGCATCGGGGCTCCCTGCTCGGCAGGAAGCCTGTTCTCCCACTCCCACTCCCCCTGCTTGTGTTCCCTCTCTCGCTGTGTCTGTCAAATAAATAAATAAAATCTTTCAAAAGAAATAAAAATTTCAGTCGAAGAATCCTTGTCTGTATCAATAATTTCATTAGGGGTTATAAAATGAAAACTTTCAGATTTTATTATTTCTTCTACTTTTACTAGCTGGCAAACTGTCTCATTAACTGAACACTTTATTTTCTTGATATACATGAAAGGAAGCATAAATGCTTATTTCTTTCCTATTAATTTACTAACTTAACATTGGGAATTCATTATTAGCTGCTTTATTGGTGACATATTAGGGAATCTTTTTGTGGGTAGGGAGGGTTATCACTGGCATTAATGAATTTTTATATAGCTTTAGTGTATTTCAACTGCCTTTTTTCCCTTTTAAAAAATTATAGTAAAATATATATAACGAAGTTTGTAATTTATACACTTTTAGGTATACAGTTGTGTGTCATTAAGTACATTCACATTGTTGTGAACCATCACCACCATCCATCATCTAGAATTTTTTCATGTTCCCAAACTAAATTTCTGTACCTATTAAAAAAATAACTTCCCACTTTCCTCTCAGCTCCTGGAAACCGCCATTCTATTTTCTTTTCCTTCTTCTTCTTCTTCTTTTTTTTTTGAGAGAGAGAGAGCGCTCACACACGTGCATGTTGGGGAGAGGTAGGGCAGAGGGCCGAGAGAGAATCTTAAGCTCCATGCCTAGCACAGAGCCCAGTGTGGGGCTCGATCTCATGACCCTGAGATCATGACCAGAGCCGAAATCAAGAGTCCGATAGATGCTTAACTGACTGAGCCACCCATCCTCCCCCAATCTATTTTCTGTCTTGATGAATTTTACTGTTCTAGGTAAACCTCATCTACGTAGAATCATACAATATTTGTCTTTTTGTGTATGGCTTATTTCACTTAGCATAATATCTTCAAGGTTCATCCATGTTGTAGCATGTGTCAGAATTTCATTAAGTGTATTACTCTTTTTGACACTGAAATTATAGCAACTTTGGTCTATGGATTCTACTTTTATTTTTTCTCTTAGGTAAGTTCCCGCTGTGAAGAGGAAAACCTTTTAGCCCGATGTCGATCTAGTGCTCAGAACAAGCAGGTGGATGAGAATTCTTTGATTTCAACCAAAGAAGAGCCTCCAGTTCTTGAAAGGGAGGCTCCATTTTTGGAAGGGCCCTTGGCTCAGTCAGAACTTGGAGGTGGACATGCTGAGTTGCCACAGCTGACCTTGTCTGTGCCTGTGGCTCCGGAAGTCTCTCCACGGCCTGCCCTTGAGTCTGAGGAATTGCTAGTTAAAACACCAGGTAAGATGGGGATGGGGTCTCAGAATGTAAGTAGATACGATTTTAGCATGTTGTGATGAAAAGCCAATAGTGAATCTCTGTACAGCAAGCTACCCACGTTTGTCCTGGGGAATCCTGAAAGTGCTGCCTAATTGGATATAGTTAATGACCATGAATTGGTGGTACACTGTCCAGAAGACATGTTTTAAAAACAACTCTCCTTACTCCACTGTTACTCTTCATGTTTGTTGATCAAACAGGTGTGAGTCAACACTCAGGATAGCAGGGTCTGGGAGAGGGGCGCTACACACTAATAAACACATGAAACTTATGCTTTAGATACTAGCTCTGTCAGTTCTTGGTGTTACTTAGGAAGTTGTTTAACCTCTGAACTTGTTTCTTTTATGAAATGGACATCGTAATGTAATTTACCCGATACATTGTAAGTAGCTAAGTGTAAATATTCCCTTTAAGTTAATTACCAATTGTTTTTCACTTTATCATTCTTTATATACATGTCACCTGGTGTGAGTTGAATCTAAACATACTGTCTCTAATTTTTACCTTCTGATTTTTGAATATTGTAGTCACTCAAGGAAAATTTTGGATGTAACTTTTTTATATTCCCAACAATAGCTTGGGATGATATTCCTTTATTAAAAAAAAAAAAGTATCCCAATTGTGCTTATTAATCAAGTAAGACAGAATCAAAAAGAATTTAAAAATAGTAAAGATAGTTACTGTTTCATAATTTAGCATGTACCAAACTGTTATTAGGCTCTTGTATATGATTCTTAAGAACAGTCCTACAAAGTAAATGTGTTTTTTCTTTGTTCAGGAGCAGAATAAAAATTCTAATCTTGGTCCTATTATGCCCAGAATTCAGGCTCTACTCCACCTCACTTCTCTTTTTGTCCTTACTATCAATTAATTATTATAAAGATAGTTCTGCCCTTTTGATTTCTCCCTTAGTCCTTTGATGATACACACACAGACACACACACAGACGTAAGAACATTTTCAGATTAGTTTGTGTTTGTATTGAGAATTGTTTTCCTGTTTTTTTATGTTAACTAATATTTTAGAATAAATAAATATATTCCTATCCTGCCCCTCCCCAGAAGATGAGGAGGAAAACATAAAAAAATATGGTGACTCATTTTTCTGTGGCATAATAGATTTTTTTTTTAATTAGTTTGTGCCTAGTTTCTAAATCATCTAATGAAAAGATACATGCATTTCAGGAAATTATGAAAGTAAACGTCAGAGAAAACCAACTAAGAAACTTCTTGAATCCAATGATTTAGACCCTGGATTTATGCCCAAGAAAGGGGATCTTGGCCTTTCTAAAAAGGTATGTTATTTTAGTCAATTCTAAAATATGATTAAACCATATGTAAATATGGGATTTTAAAAACAAATCTTTTAGGAATACTTAGCAACATTGATGCACACATACATAGACATTACAGAATGTCAGAGTATACTCGTTTGGTCTAAGAGATCATATATTGAGAAGCTGTTTTGCATTTTTGTGGACATGAGTATCAGGTGGTTTTAGATGTTCTTTTCAAGTGAAAATGAAAAGAGCTTTTAAGATTGAGTATAGTGTGTGTGTGTTGTCATTTCTTTTCTGGGATTAAAACCTCACCTGCTTTCTACTTCACCTCTGTCTCTGTGAGCCACTAACCTACTCTTACCCCATTGCCTTATCTGCATAACACCTCAGAAAAGACTCCGCTCATTTATATACCAGGCAGAAACATTTGAACCTAAGTTTTTGAGTTTGCAAACATGGTTTTTATTGGCCAAGAAGGCATCATTAAATAGTAGATGGAAATAGAAGGTTATTTTCCTGGATATTAATTTTTAGGGAACATCCTGTTGCTCATATGTGTGAGGAGTAACTCAATGTGTTAGAAATTCAGTTGTTAGGGTGCACAGATTTCCTATTAAAATTTTCTTTCTTTAAAGGAAAAATGCAGATTGTAAGCAAATCACATATAGAGTTTTTAGACTTTCATCAGCTATAACAGGCTTCTATCATTTAATCCTGTATTGAGGATCCTAGTTTTTGTTTTTGTGAGTTATTCGCCCATCTGGATTAGCATGTAATTGTAAAACTCAATTTATTCGTGTGTTTGTACCTCATTTTAAAGTCTGCATTATATCCTTTAAGTCTTTTACTCTTCTCAAAGTCCATTTCCTAAGACATGTCCTAGTAAGCTTGTGATAGTTTCCTTCTGCAGTGCTTTCTCTCTTGACTTAGTCTTATTCAAATCTTAGCCACTTGCAAGATTGTTGGAAGAGGTAGGTGGTAAGGGACAAGGAAACTATGATTCATATGAATATTTTGAGCATGGAAGTAACATTTGCTATCAGGTGATAAATTTAGTAGTATTATACAAGGTGAATTATGTAAGGCTGTTGCATTACTGCTACAAGTGAGGTAATGACAAATTTTAAAGAAAATCAGAATTTGGGCCAGTTTAGTGAATGATATTTTACCTGTTTTATTGAGATATAATTGACATACATAAGTTAATGATTTGATTAATGTATATAGTGAGCATTTGGAAGTTCACTGCCGTATTTTAGCTTGTTTTGACCTCAAAATTTAGGAACTTTATAGCAGGAATAGCATCTGTTATGTTGACTTTTTGTGGCCACTAAATTTTGTTTTACAGTCCTGCTGAAGAATATTTTTATTGTAGAAGACACTTGCTTGGACTGGAACTGATTCATACAAGCATTAGTAGTAGTAGCGGAATAAAATGTGTAGGAAATTACTCTTGATGTCTGAGTGTTTTGTTTTGAGTTTTAATGTTGCTTTCATTTATATTAATCTACAGCCAATTAAATCAGAAAGACATTCCATGATTCAGAGCTTTCTGGTGTATGTGCTGCTGAAGTGAGCACTGATTTAAAGCTTTTTAATATTTAGAATTCATCAAATAAGTTTTTGTAAAATCTAATGACTATAAATGCAGTCTTAAGAAGATAGATTTTAAATGCAGAGTGGTATGGGATAGAACTGAGATGGTGGGTCTCTGGAAATATACCCTTTCTCTTTGTCTACCACTTCAATCAGAGCACCATTCTGTATCTGCTTGATATATTGGGAATCTCTGGTTAACCCCCACACCCTAAAGGAGTGTGTGTTTGTATGAGTCTTTTGGAGCTGGGTTTTTTTTGTGTGTTTTTTTGATGTCTTTTTTTCCCCATGTAGTTTCTATTGAACCCATTATTAATATTTTGTTTATTTAATTGTCAGAAACAGCCAGGATTTCTGTATCTGTGATAATAGTTCATATTTGGCATATAATATAAAGGATTTATTTTCTGTTCCTCTGTAAATCTGTTGCATTTTGTTTATTTGTAGTGTTATGAAGCTGGTCACTTGGAGAATGACATTAATGAATCACGTGCTGCATCTCATTCTAAAGAGTATGGTGGAGGTGCGTATTTTTGAGATTTAAAAAAATGTAATGCATGGGGCGCCTGGGTGGCTCAGTCGTTGGGTGTCTGCCTTCGGCTCGGGTCATGATCCCAGGGTCCGAGCCCTGCTCCATGGGAAGCCTGCTTTTTCCTCTCCCATTCCCCCTGCTTGTGTTCCCTCTCTCACTGTGTGTGTCTTTCTCTGTCAGGTAAATAAATAAAATCTTTAAAAAAAAAAAACATAATGCAAAATAACTATGAAGCACCTCCTCAGCTAACTAGAAAAGTTGTTACATATGTAAGCAAGACCAGTGAGGTTGCAACTTCCAAGACTTATTTGCCCAACGGGCACCTGGCTGGCTCAGTTGGAAGAGCATGAGACTGTTGATCTCAGGGCCATGAGTTTGAGCCCCACATTGGGTGTAGAGATTACTTAAAAATAAATAAAATAAAATCTAAAAAAAAAAGCCCCAATCTTGTTTGCCCAAATATGCTTCCTAACATGATGTATGACACTAGAAAGTTGGATGTCATTTTCAGCTTTATGTTGAAATTAGTTACATGGAGTAAGGAAAAGTTAGGAACAATAAAGAAAATCTGCTACTTAATGTTCTTATTAGATGATTCTCTAACTGTAATCATTACTTTCTTGGCTTTGATTCAGTTTTTATTCTATAGGACAGAAAATGTGGAATCTGAGTTGAGAGGGAAATTACAAGGCATCTAAGCCTATTTTTCACAAATAGTCTTAGTTTCTTTTGTCACATCTATGATTTTTGGTGAGTGAGCATATGCTTGAAAAAGCTTATATTTTGGGTGTGGTCCATGTAGTTGCTTCTTTTAAGGGCTTGGAAATCTTTTATATTTTATATATATTTTTTGAAGTTTATTTTATTTTTTTAGGGAGAGTACGAGCAGGGAGGGGCAGAGGGAGAAGGAGAGAGAATATCCTAAGCAGGCTCTGCCTTCAGCCCAGAGCCCAACGCAGGGCTCGATTCCACGATCCTGAGATCATGACCTGAGCTGAAATCAAGAGTCAGATGCTTAACTGACTGAGCCACCCAGGCACTGGGCTTGGAAATCTTTTAGATTGCATTTGAATCTGACTCCTGAAAGTTATACATGGTGATCTTGGTTCTGCCTATAGGAGGAATGGGCAGCCCTTCATTCAGTAACATAGAATATTGTAGTTTGAGCATTTCCTCTACCAGATCCTTTGTTTGCTCAGTCCATTGCTTTAGGACTGTTAACTTCTTTTTTTTTTCTTTTTTTTAAAGATTTTATTTATTTATTTGACAGAGAGAGACACAGCAAGAGAGGGAACATAAGCAGGGGGAGTGGGAGAGGGAGAAGCAGGCTT